AATGAATCGAAAAAAATCCAAAGTTGGTTTAAGATGGACATAAGCGTAGTTGCCCATTGGTTTTAGTCTTTTCCTTACTTATTTAATTGAATAATTTTGTCATCTTAGGGCACTTTTGTATACCTGTTAATTGTTTGTCGTTAACAGTATCAATAGGTTGTAATAATAATAATTATTATTATTATTGACGACGTGATATTTCAGACAAGTGTTTTTGCATTTTCGAGTCTAAAAGATTTACTTATAATGATGATATGTTTTTTTCATTCCAGCATTACAATCTTAATTGAATTTATAATACTTTAGTTTATGGAAGCGTTTTGGGCACAGCGGGAATGCTTTAGTTTCCCAACCTCGGGGTCGGGGTTTAAATTCTTCGCTGTGCATTTCGTTTGTGACCTTGAGCCTCAGTCTATACCTCCCCCACTGTATCATTGGGTACCAGCAAATTGCTGGGAGTAACCTACTTTGGACCAGTGTCCCACCCAAGTGAAGTGTTACACTCTCATTCGCTTCACGCTACAGAAACCGGGAATAAGCTCCAGCTCTATCCTTAGTGGCTCGGCACTTTATTATATATTTATTTGCTTTATATATAATGATAATAATAATAATAATTATATATATATATATATATATATATATATATATATATATATAAAGTGCATATGTTTAAAATAATATAAAGAAAGCACATTATTTGTTATTTCGAAAGCATGATAGCAAAGATATAGGCCTATTCATGGTATACATTTTTTTCACGAAAAAAAATTGTGATTCTTAAAACGTGATTAAGAATTCAAATTGTTGAACATTGAACATAATAGGAAATCCAATTTATTACGAATTGTCTACGTCTTTTCAGCAATAAATTTAATCGTGGAATTTAAAAAGTACTGCAGAAATACGCTTTCCTAAATTCACGTTCATCTTTAAAATTACTTAGTGTGCATTTCTAGAAAATTAATTGATAACAAGACATTAACTCTACAACTGAAACGCCATAGTATAACACGTTTGTGCAACGCAATACCAACCCACATCAATGATACATTATTTAAATCATTTGAAAGCCACTAGATGAGATACTGTGTGTCTGAGAGCCCTAACCTCCTTTTATGCTGACGAATTGTTATTTAACTTAACTGTTAAAATTGGGACACACGCTTCCCTACTTCCCTTAAGATTAGGTAGTTATAACTTTACAGTAGTTATGCTTAATTACATTAAGGATTCATTTACTGTAAACACCAGGAACTGAGAACTGCCGCTAAACTTAAAGTTTCTACCCAATTAAAGCATTTAGCAATCGTTGTTTTATATTCCCATGTATCTCTTTAAATGTAAAGAAGAAAAAAGCTGAGAAGGTTATAAAAACTGTATGTTGTTGAAAGATGAAGAGCACCTAAAAACTACCCAATTATATATTTAACTACTAGCGTTATTTTGCTGTAACTCTAAGCGTAACATTATTATACGATTGTGCGTAACATTATTATACGAATATGCGTCATTATTTTACGAATATGAGTGACGGTGACGATGACGATGCTGATGAAGACGATGATATGGTGGTGATGATGATGATGATGATGATAATAATAATAATAATAATAATAATAATAATAATAATAATAATAATAATAATAATAATAATAATAATAATAACCTGGGAATCTGGCCTCGTGGAGCCGAATTTACAAACGTTACGTACAGTACAGAGGGAAGGCTGAATTCTTTGGGCCAAAATAGCCTACAGTAAAAACACAAAGGTCTATTACCCTTCAGTAATGAGACAGAAAACAAGCTTAATAGAATAAATTAATATAGCCGCATTAGTTGAATTAATGCAATAAGATAAATCGAACAGCATTGTACCGACTAACATACTAGTATGATGCTGAAACGTTCATCACAATGGGCATCTTCTTGTGACTGCTTAGTGAATTACATGATGGCCGGTCTTGGGAATCGAGTTGGCTTTGTATGGAACGAGTGATGATTGTCAATGAAGCCAGCCGGGCACACACTACGGCCGTTGTATGTGAGCGCTTGATGACGACGCGATGCCGTCTGCTGATTGTCGGTGGCAGTTTGAGCGGATCATCGTCACTAAAAAAATATCGGTTGTGCGCGCCGCTTTTTATCATCTTAAAATCGCGTTAAAAGTTGCTGACCGGGCCGACCGACCTTAAGCCTGTTTTCCACTAGGTGAATTTATTCGCGCGAATCAAAGGCGTCGGTTGGGTTCCTGAGCTCCGATTTGTTGCGCACTTTTTTCGTTTCGCAAAAAGTAGAAACAGTTCGAACTACCGTTTTCGCTGAAGCGAAACCTGTGATAGAAAAGTGAATACGCATGCGCATGAACGACGCTTTCGATTCGCGCGAATAAATTCGCCTAGTGGAAAACCAGCTTTAATTTCTAAAGCCGGGCACTCACTGCGTCGTACGACGAATCCAACTCCGCTCCCTGCGAACGCTAGACAACGCGACGCATCGGATTGAAAACGAACCGTTAAGCCGGTTTTCCACTAGGCGAATTTATTCGTGCGAATGGAAAGCGTCGGTTCGCTTCCTGAGCTCTGATTGGTTGCGCCTTTTTTTCGCTTTCCAAAAAGTAAAAGCAGTTCGAACTACCGATTTCGCTGAAGCGAAAACTCCGAAAGAAACGTGAATGCGCGTGCGCATGAATCGACGCTTTCGATTCGCGCGAATAAATTCGCCTAGTGGAAAACCGGCTTTACGCGCTCGTCGTGGCGTTGCGTTCTCGATAGAATCGCGTCGGCGACCAACGACCTTCGGGCACAGAGAGTGTCCAGGTTGCCACATTCTACTTCAACTATAGGCCTTGTACTTTTTAGGCCTCATCAATGGGCTAACATTTCACAGGGGTAGGCCTACATCCTTTTGTTAGTTCGTAGGCATAGGCATATGTATATCTTACCGAAAATATTTAAAATAAAAAAAATGTTTAACTCATTCTAATTCAATCTGATTCACAGATGTCTCTGAATGTAGGAAATGTTTTATCTTGCTGCTTACTTCTCGGGGTAGCCTTCCAAACAGGTAAGCCTTCAAATGACATTGCTGTTTTGTTATTAGAAGTGATATTTTGCACGATCTGGCGTAATATCTTCAAGTTCAAGTTCAAGTTTATTTAAAAAATCATGTTCGAAACTTCCAAAAGAAGTTGAATTGCATTGATTTCTACACAATAATTAAAATATAAATATATAAAAATAGTACACGAGAAAAAAAAATACATACAAATTCAAATAGAATAAAATTTACAAGCGGTTACAATATTCAAAAGTTACAATTTCATAATTAAAAACATACAATAAATGTTAATTAAGCAAAGGTACAAAAAAATGGTAAAAAGACGGAAGAAAACCACAATTGAATTAAAATAGCAGAAGGGCCCACGATCCCTTTACAATTAATAATTAATAAAGTTCGCAAATTGAGTTAGAGACACATCACAGAAAATGTAATTAAAAATTGGATTAAAATAAGCAGGGGGGACATTTTTTATGGGGAAAAATGAGATATCACTAGTGGGAATCTCACAAAAAGTTATCTGCAGCATAATCAGTGAACAGGTAATCATATGGCCGCATCACTAACGGAATGTCGAGATATACGCATAGGCCTACATTCAGAGATCGTTCAACATGACAGTTAGATATGGGATTGCACTATTGGCGTATCTGTTGACTCTGATAGGCCTCTCCTGATCATAGGAAACATTTAAGCGCAGCTCTCGAACATCATTTCCAAATAATTATGTTGGAAGCGCCGCGGAGCTTATTCGAGGATTTACGGTATATTCTTTATGACGAATCCAAGTGTGAAAGCTCACTATTTTAATGTTAAATGCGGCCGGCGTTAATTCTCAACGGGGTGTATCCTAACAACTAAATTAGCGCATAATGAAATCAGTATGATCTATGATCTCTTAACTTATTATGAATTATAATTGTGTTGCTAAACACACTTAACCATGTTATTTCATGTCTCTTCATTTACGCAGTTTAGCCAAGGCCTACCGTATAATTTATGTTTGTAACAATATCTGCTCCAGTAAAGATTTACTGATACTATCTGTATGTAGTATATATATATATATATATATATATATATATATATATATATATAACATAAATCAAGGTAGCCGTTAACACTGTTAAATCATATATAAATCATCAAAGAAAGGTAAATACAGTGTTCGAATAAAGGACTTAATAAATACATCG